AATTAATTTCTCTTTGGTTTATTTACCTTGGCTTTCAGACAGACTGGTATTTTTTGTGTTACCACCCAATTCACGCTAGGTCTAGGTAAAAGCCAAAAAGGTAAAGACACGTCAAGATTCCTTATGCATTGAAGCTTGTTTTCAAGTTTTGATCCTAAGATAATTTTTTTCTGACATCTAAAGTACATATTTGTGACATTTGGGGCTTTTTTACTAATAAGAATGACTTATTTATACAAATATTGTTTAAAACTAAATAGGTGTCTCTGCTTAATTTGTAACTCAGGATATCAACTTGACTATAAATAGGGCTTCAAGTTTGGAGACACATTTTATGATGTGAGGACAAGATCAAGTCAAAAAATAGATGCAAGTGTAAGATATAAAATTACAAAGCCAATCCCAGCTTTCAGAAAGAAAGGCAAGATTTTTGTCCATGTGTGTACCCAAACTATGTGTTAACAGGAGAACAAGTTTAACTTGTGCATGAAAAAGCACGTAAGTGTTACAGTGAAACAGAAGCAATCTTTATGAAATTAAACAAACCCTCTACTGCCTAGTAAATACATTTATTTTTCTGTGTAAATTCCAATTAAAGTCACTTAGTAACATGCTTCTTTCATTTGTAACATTCTGTCCCGCAGTGGATATTTAGGAGCAGCTTGCTAATGAAAATGTAATTTCTCTCTTGCCAAGTACAAAGATATTTAATTGATGACTAAAATCTTTGTAAAGTTTTTTAGCCAGCGACCTCACTCAGGTTGTACCTCACCGGCTACAACAAAGGGCTGGCCGAGCTGTGCTGCGCGGCACACGGCAACCTCACGACTCGGCTCAACGCAGACGGGGCTGGCAGAAGCTCAGTGAACATCAGATCCCACGAGCGGCGCCTACGTATCATGATTCCAAGATGATTCTTTAAGAAGAGAGGGAATTAAACACAGTATTGGTAATTACCTCAGTGTAACATCGTGCATCTTCAGAGATGACATCGTAATCCTGGGCACAGCTTTTGGCAGCATTCTGGGCAAATTTCATAAATTCTGCAATTTCATTGTTTACTACTTCTTTCATTTGCTGCGGGGAAAAAAAATTATGTTTTTTAAAAACACAGAACAGAATCTTGCAGGCAAGGTATGCAACAAGCAACATATCCAGAGAGGTAGTAGCACAGGGGATGGTGTGAGGGAGGGCACAGAGTGCCCTCACTGCTCAACTGGTAAGTCTTTGCGTATGTTCAGTTTCACTCAACTGAAAAAAAAAATAATAATAATAAAAAAAAAATCTTTTCCAACACCTATTTCCTTAAAAAGAAAAAAAAAATCCCCAAACAACACCTGTCCTGTCCAAACAGCAAGCTTCTTTTGATCACACACTGGTGGTTTATTAAAAGACATACTACAAGACAGTGTTGGAGCAAGTTTACCTGACAGAGCTACAGAGACACCTGAGCTCTGACTTCATAAGCAACTACACTGTAAGTAACAACAACGCAGAAGGTACTGATTTGCCCAGGAATGACATCACCATCGTTACAGCATAAAATAAAGGAATTAGTACTGACAAGGAAGCACGGGAAACCAAATGCAGTGGCTCAACATTCGGTGATTAACAACACTGTACAGGATTCAACTACAATAACGCTTTCAGCCAACACGAGACACAGCCTCTCTCCACTTAAACAACAGTGCTGAGACAAATCAGCAAGTGTGACAACTAGAAAGTCAACGCACAGGTCCTCACAGGCACCTTACAGGGTGCTGTCAAAGATCACATCAGCATGTATCCATCTCTAACATTATACCAGACTGCTACGTGCCACTTGGAGATGCTAAAAACACAGTAAGATCAAATCCTCATTTCCTTCTCGTAAAAAAAAAAAAAGTAGGCTTTTTGGAGGGGGAGGTGAGAGTTGGATCAGCTCTCAAACATCTACACTTACCATCAGTTTAGACCCACTTACAATGAAACAACTAAATACACTTTCTATTTGTATTAAAAAGGTTAGCCTGAATACTTTAAAACTTTATTAGCATTTATAATACTACATTAAAAGGAAAAAACAAAGTGAATTCACAAACATTTTGGTCCCATTCTCCTTAGCTATTTGTAACAAAAACCTGCACGACTCCCTCTCTAATGTTCAGATGTATATTCACGTATACTCACCAGATATGTGAATAGTTCTCTTTGACTTGCTGCATTAACTTGAAAGGAGTTTATTTTTTTGGAGTACTTAGTCATCAGATACAAGTATGTTTTCTGCTCCTTCCCAGTCAAACAAGAGGTGAACGGGTAGGGGACCCGAGGTTCTGGAAAAGGATGATCCTCGGTTGTGCTTTTAGCCTCCACCTCGACCGCATCTGCAGCAGCCACGCTACAAGCCTGTTTGTTTTCTGCAGAGTTTGCCGATGCCTCCACATTCTTCTTTGCCGCTCTGAAAGGAAAATAATAAATGAAAGAACTCACACTTTTGATGAAGTTTAGGGCTGGGCTGGCCACTAAACTCTGACAGACACTCTCTGTGATCCCCTCAGCACCCACCCAGGGGATGATAACAGGGGAACCAGGGAGAGAGACTTTGAGGTTGGAAAAAAGTTGAACCAGTTTAACGGAAAAAATATAAAATAAGAGTAATGATTACAATGAAGCTGTCAAATTATATATAGATATATACAAGTATGCAAATATATTCAAAGATACAAAAAAATATGTTAATAGGGGACTCCTATCTTCCAGATGACAACAAGCTTGCAAGCAGCAAAAAAACCCCAAAACCAGACTTGACCCTGCAGCAGATGGGAGCACCAGAGCCCAGAGTCCCAATGACAGCCAAAAAAATCCACCAAAAAGGGAAAAGGAGCTCTGTCACTCTGTCACATAGTGCGAGGCAGGAGAAGACAACCTGCTCCATCGAACGCTGCTCAACTCCTCTTCCTAGCCTACATAACAGAAATTTTCTTCTTCTGAGACTTCACCTGGACATTCAGATGAACCTCAATACCAACAGCAGGTTTGCCACTGGTTTAAAGATGGAAAACAGGAATTTATTTTTTTTTAAAAAATGGTACACCTGTCAGCCTGTATACTCAATACTGAGGTGACAAGCTAAACATGTGATATTGATGCTATGTTCTGGAACTACCCACTACTAATAAAAAGGTAGAGAGTCTCAACATTTCGTCATTTACTGATGGCTGGTGTTGAGAAACAGTTTGCGCTCCAAAAAGTCTAACGAGTCAAACATGATAATGAAAGAGAAAGACCAGAAAAAGCTTTTATTTTTCCTAATGTAAAAGTAGTATATTACTTAATCACAACAGCAAAAATTTCAGATTTCAGTGAAGAAACTCGCAGAAAGAGAGTACAAAATTCACTAGATTAATCTTCTACTCTGAACAACACTGACACGAGTTGCCAAAAATGATACTGGGTACGGCAAGGGGTGCAGCTGCCCTAACAGCAACAGGGTAGTAACATAATAAAGCTGGTTCTTAAAACAACTCCAGTATACCAAGTCCTTCTTAGGCCTGCTCTGTTCAAAATAACTGTTCTTAAAAGAGAAGATATTTAAGGTTAACAAAATGAACATTAACTGCTGATCTTGGAAAAAGCGTATTTTTAAGCTACACGTTCAGCAGCAGCAGAAAACATCTCGAGTGTTATTCAAACCCAGCAGTATCACGTCCACAGTTCTTAATAACACTTCACAGCTGTCTCTCTGAATATGAGAATGTGCCCATCCTCACGGCACAAACTGGCAAATTTAATTAAGCTGCAGCGGCGCCAAGATGCTGACTCAGATATGCCAATGGAGAACCATCAAGGCATTCGAGCAGCTTCAGCTGGCTGTATTCAGCACTCAGGGAAACGGCAGCACATCCAGATCATCGCGGTATGCGGTGCTGTCACAGTCGTCATCAGGGCGCAAACCAAAATAATCTGACAGAGCTTTTCTGCCCCTATTTACAGCGTTATACTTTATTTGAGCTGACTGCTTAAATCCCTCCCCTTCATTTTATCAGCAACCTGCCTTCACAGCTTCCCCAGTGAGAGAACACACACGTTAGTAAATACCTCTAAGAAAACCCAATGTAAACACTGACAAATTTCCTCCAGCCTTTACTTTTGCATTGCCCCAACAGGTTCCACATCTCTTCCCCCTGACTACGGGCACACATCTCAGTTCTACCAATTTCTGATTTTGGCAACTTCTCTTCTGGCTATGAACCCACATCTACCATAAAAAACAAAAACAGCTTGTATTGGGTTGGCTGAGCCGGATTTTGGTGGCGGCAGGG